ATACCATCCACAGTCAGGGTTTCCTGAAATAAAATTCACACCTATTCAGAACAATGCATATCACACTCGTAGACAAACAGGAAAAAAAGTTCAGGGGGCCGGTGGGGGCGAGTGCTGACAATTTTACATACAGACCTATTATATAAATACCAAAGTTCAGCCCACTCAAGTCTCCCTTTACGTTCATCAGGTCAGTGGGTCAGGGCGGAAAAAAAAAATGAGCGCCAAACAACAACCTCTGCTGCTCACTTGAGAAGCAGGCCGACATTTTTGATCTGCATCCCCGTACATAGTCCCTTTATTCACTCAAATCAATTAATTAAAATATCCATCGCTTGTTTCCAAAACCAACTGTCAAGATGTGTCCTCGGCCTGCACTCTGCAAGATGTTTTCCACACTGGCACAATTCAAGAAGCTGCAACAATCCCATCTTTGTTACATTTAATTGTTGAACCAACAATATGGCATCTGTGCGATTGTGTGAAAAATATGAATGACCCATTCACGCGGCTCAATGGAGTTGCTTGACAGCGGCCACCTAGTTTCTCTCCCTGCCTTCAAACACTCCCCCAACCGCCCCTCCAAAACATTTTCAATGCCTTGGCACTTGACACTTCCCCTGGAAGCAAGTACTAAGCCTCTCGCGGCTTCAAGCACTTGGCGCAAGCGTAGCCACAAAGGGACAAATCCTAACGTGCTTTGCGAGACTTGGGAGGACAAAGCCCACATTAGTGAGCATGTCATCTGGACTCCCCTGAGGGGGATCTGAGTGGCCTTGAGGAATGTGGTGTGAAGAGGATAAATATATGTTAGTGGGCAAGAAGATGGAGAATTGGGTATGTGGCCCTTCATTGAGCAACAATATAGGGGGATTATTGGGGGGTGGGGAAGGGTTGGTTTGTTTTATTAAGATCCGGGGCCATCTCGACAGATGATTTGCATAATAGAGGTCTTGCCCAAATTGTTATAAATCGCTTCAAATAATTTGGAGAAAATTTACCCAAAGGACGATTGCTATACATTTCTTTGAAAAAAGAGGTCTTCATTTCTTAAATGACTGAGATACACAATATGGAGTCAGAAATCAAGAAGGTGTACACACCGAGTAGTGTTGGTGCATTTTTTTGCAAGCACACTAGCCTGCGGCAAGCTCTGAATTGCGTGCAAAAGTGGCCAGGTTGCCCAACAAACCAGTATTGGAATTTCCATTTCAAGATTTGAACTGTATTTTTACTATTATTTTTTTTATTATTATCTTAATCACAGGAAACAAAAGAGAGATTTGTTGTCCCATTAACTTTTGTTTGCTTGCATTACAGCAAAAAAAGAAGAGAGTGAGATTCAAAAACAGCTTCTACCACGAAACTGGGAAATGCATTACCGGTAACCGCACGCCCGCCCACTCCTCCCACACCCCACGGTAAATACGCCTCTACATCGTTTACAAGTGCTTACAATGAACAAGACTAGTGCAGTATTGTCCAATCAAAAATCTGAATATAAACATATCAAGCTACTACTATATTATATGGACATTCTCCCAAGTGTAAATAACTATGTTCTGTAAATAAATGTCTTTTTTACAATTCCGTGCTTAGATAGATAGACAGGCAGGCAGGCAGGCAGGCAGGCAGGCAGGCAGATAGATAGATTTTTTTTTTACCTCAACTCTGCAATTTGTGAGATGCCTCACTGATTTTCATCGGTTCTGTGACAGTGACAATATTTGTATTCACGTACATGCAAGCGAGGGAGAAGAGTCAGAGTGCAGCTCTGGGTTTGAGTCCTCCAGCAAGCTGGACGACTGTGAGATAATGTCTGGGGGCAAAGGGAGACATTTTTGGACACATTTCGTTCTAATGTGCACCAAAATTGTACTGGGACTTGCTTTTTGCATTCTCACAAAGTTTCATGAAAATCTGGGATACCGTTTTTGTGTATTTTTCCTACCAAGAAACAATCCTTGCTCTCGTGCTCTGAAATAGCAACAATTTAACAGCGATCAAGACTACTGATACTGAATTTAAACAATGCTAGAGCAACACATGTACAGTGACTGAACCTTAGAACAAATAGCAAAACTCAGCGACTAATTGACGCTTCCTCAGAAAAAGCTAGTAGTTAACTATAGATGCCACAACTCACTACTTTTGCCAAAATAAAACTTGTCAACCTACTTTACCATGGTTTCTTGGTGTCAAAAAGCCACGAGGTGGGGGCAAAGCACTACTTTTAGCTAAATAACACACTAAATCATTTCAACACTGTTTCTTTGCACATGTGTAGATGTCCTAAAATTGCTTTAGCCTGTCCACTAAAACTGTTTTTTTTAAAAATTCTGACTACCTAGCAACTCAAACAAAATGAAATTGTGGAGAAAAAAAAATCTCAAAGATGCCTCAAACCAATACAGTATTGATGGAGTATGACCTCCATCAATCAAAAGATGTTTGATCACCATTTGTTGGTTAGTTTATGTGTTAGCTAACTAGAATTACACAAAAGCAATTTAGTCTCTACTTAGCCACAAGCATGTTTTTGGAACATGGCAGGAAGTCGGATTAGCTGGAGGAAAGCCAGAAAGGCAGGAAGAGAATGCAAACTCCATACAGAAAGACCCAAACACAGTTTCGAATCGGGATCCTTTTGATTGTGGGACACAGCGCATCATAGCTACAGTACCATTCATTTTCTCAACAGTTTAAGCCTTGGCAGAGGTCGGTCTTCAGGTAGAAATGTTTACCTGTATCTCTGATTTTAAAAAAAACGTAGTAAAAGTTGTTGACCAGTGCAATGGTATTTTTCCTGTTGGCGGCCTGACATGTAACTATTATTAATCTATTCTGAGGAACACTGAGGCTTAAGATGCAGAAAAGTCTCAAATGCCACAGTTGACCAATCTTAACATTCTCTGATCCGAACACTCCACTATCTGTGGTCCTTTCTCAAGGTTTCATCTCCCCCCAAAAAATTGGGGTTTTGAGTTTTTCTTTGCCTGGTTGGGACTTTAGATTGGGAAACATTGTTAATACTTTTCAACTTGTAAAGCCCTTTGAGACTCTTTTGTGATTAAGTGCTATATAAATAGACTTGACTTGCGCATTTGAATGCATTACTCGAAGGACAACGACTTAAATCAGAGCATCCAAGAACCAGCAATCGTGGAAACACAGATACCCCCCCTGACCCCCCCCCCCCACACACACACACACCCCCACCGCATCTGGTTGGGAGGTTGGAGCGGATAAGTGCATCAAATCTTTTCAAGGGACCTGCAAAAGCCATCCATGCGCAGCGCCTGAAGATGACAAAGCAAGCTCCACGATGGACCCGAAGTTCTATTGGCCAAATGTGAAGTGAGCAGGAAAGGAAAAGGGTCAGTACAAGAGCAGGAGGGATTTGTGTATTCCCATGTACTCCCATGGGTTGTAGGGCGCTAGCATCTGGAGCAAAATATACTCTAACGGACACTTAACATATTTGCCAAAAGATCATAAGCCTTTCCTGGCTGGAATTTGAGGGCATCAATCTCAACTGGGAGAAATCCACTCTCACATGTACACCACAAAAAAAAAAAAAAAGACCGCCACCATCAACTGCTTTACATCTGTCAGGGGTCCCACGGGGCAGGCAGAATGGCGGGATGGTGAAACCGCGTTTAATGGTAAACATTACACACTGATAGAAAGTGTCAGGATAATTTATCTATATAGCCCCACTGAGAGTCGCTTAACCACCTTTATCGCTCTTTTCGGGGGAGAGAAAGGCACAGGAGATGCTCTCCTTTTCGCACAGCGCGATTCTTCCCCTCTTACCCCGGATTTACTCACCATTGAGCCAACTCGCATGCTGAGATGTGAGACGATACACTACATATATAATGAGGCCAATTCTTCCTATACAGACATACTACTACAAAGAAAACGCATTGTATGACCACCAGCAAATACACTGAACAGGATCTGCTTTATGGCTTTTTTGTTTTTACACACACCACCCAAAAAGCCAAAAGTGCTTCTCTTGTCTTCCTGTTTACAAGTAAAGCACAAATTACACTCCACTACACAAATAACACTCTCACATGGTCCAGTATAAAGGTCCAAAACTCACTCCGGAATTTGCTCCTGCATTTCAGCTTCAGAAGGACATTGATCTTTCCACCATGTATTTAATGCGAGGGGAAAAAAATGCAACAAACTGTTTTTGACCAATTTGACTCCATCAAATGCAAGTGTGCTATTCCGATTGGCACTGGATGGCATATTGGGGCACTTTAAGCCGTTAAAACAGAACCAGTACAAAACACATGCATGGGTGCAAATTCATTGATTTACGTATTCTGCTGTTCCTGCTCACCACCTTTATTTTCATTAGCGTTTGTCTTTTACAATCAATGTCTGGCAGAAATTTGAAATATAAAAGCATGAAATAGTGATGGTGACTGAGACTATATTGTTCAGCAAACAATTATTAAATCTAATAAGTGATTTCATGAGTCAAATCTATTATTCAACATAAATGTAAGACTTGTGTTTGTAAGAACTGCTGCTATACCTCAAACAAGTTGTTGTATAATGAATTACTGTGCTCGTGTAAAAAAATGCTTAAAATTAAACTACTTGTAATGTGCTAAGTCAAATGCAAATATATCATGACATGAATAACGTACAAATTATTTTTTTTTAACAACAAAAAAGATTAGTTTGATAGTTGTATGAAAAGGTTCCACAGACATAAGGTGAGGTGAAATGTTGGAACGACTCATTTTCATATATTTAAATTTCAAGCCCAGGGGGGAAAGGTGCCAATTCAAGTATTACATTGCTAGATGATAAAATATTGCTAGGTATTAATTCATGCTGATTTTTTTTTTCCATTTGGAAACTCTTCAATATTTTTCTTATGTTCAACACTGTGGCAACAGGAACAATGTCTACTGAATGAACATTTGTGACAATAGTGACAGAAAATAAGCATAAGTTAATGTAAATAACCTTACCATAGACGCTACTACTGTTGCTGCTGCTGCTGATCATTTCGTGCTGGAAAAGGTGGGGAGGAAGCAATTAGTGGAGGGGAATTAAAAAAAAAACACCTCGACACAATTTCCTACTCGGCATAAGGGAGGAACTCATGTCAAGTTAAGAACGCATTTAAAAAAAAAAGTTAAAATGTTTGCAACGTCTTCACTCCAACTTGTAAGGCAAATTTAGCGGCGGACGTTAAAAGGTTTATGCGCGTAAATTGTTTTAATTGAAAGGGAGGGCACGTCACATAACGACGGCAAGCTCTGGCAGGTGCGCTCCGATTAAAATGGCGTTTCAGAAATTAATACCAAAAAAAGACTAATGGAACGATTAAAAAAACTTGTTGCAATCATTCGCTCTTCATTTCAAAGGTAAAAAAAAAACAACCAACAAACAAACAAATCTCCCTCCCTATACTCTGCTTACCTGTTATTTTTGCCACAGGTCGACCTCGAGCGTGGGGTGGGGGTTGGGGGGGATGAAAGATTGTGTGCCGTCCTAGGGCAGCATTGGAACCAGGACAGGTTCGGTTGGTAGGTTTGGGCCAGGTCGAAGCATTCCTGCCGAGTCTCGAGTAAGCGGCTCACGAAACGCTGACCACAGCCGCCACTGCCATGATGAATCTCAGCCGGCGGTGGCGGCGGCAGCAACAGCACTTCATCCAACAGATGCTTCTCACCCTGGTCGACGCCACGCCAGCCCCGACGCGCATGCGTACACCAAGCATTCAAACGACCCAGCCTATGCGTGCGTCGGTTTTTTTTTTCTTTTCCTAAATCAAATCATTGGTGGTGGGAAGTAACAATGTACAATTCAGAGGAATCTTATAAGAACTGATCTGATCTTATTGGAACGGTGAGACAATTTCCTTTATTTATGTTTTGTTTGTTTTATTGTTGAACATATTTCTGCGTTGGTATCAAAAGGACGGGACGAGGAACTAAGTACAAATACTTAGTTACTGTATGCTAGAAGCTTTTTTTAGGTGTCTGTGCTTGAATATAAATATAAAATATGTTTATGGCTCATGTGCGCGCGCGCACGCGTGTGCGTGCGTGTGTGCGTGCGTGCGCGTGTAGGCCAGTTCTGTCAGCCAATCGAGATTCTCTTAATAAATGTGGCGGGAAGGAAAGTTTTTATTCGTCAATTGGTTTTAGAATTACCTTTACGATAAAAGTTGATACAAGTGGTTTATAAATTGTTCATCTGTTATCGGTTTTGTGACAGAAAGTGGTTTTATTGGGGTTCTGAAAAAAAAAAAAAAAACGTGCCAAAAGCAAGACAGCGCAACATGATTTAACGCGGGTGGCCACAAGGATGCAGACTCACTCACAAATGCACATCAACGTGTTGTGTCAGGTGTTTTTATCCGCCCGAAATTGCCAAGTCAAAAGTCATATGCCAGCCACTAAACCTTTTTGTGTGGCCTGACCACATGATCCTTCGTGGGATTAGCTCATAATTAAGTACAATGACATTATTGTAGAAACAATGAAAAACGTTTTAGTATTCACACTGGTACAAATAAATTGTATCCCTTCTTTATTACTCCTTTTGAAGTCGTTATTTCATGTCATCGAAAATAATTGTGATCACTTAACCCCACCACCACTTGATGTCTGCAAAGACTTCAAGCATAACATGTCAAAATCAATTTGAGTACAGACTTGTAGCATAAATGTACTGTGAAGCAGTTAATAAAGAACTCATTCCCATGGTGATTACGGGATGTACTACGCATGTTTTTCACACAATTTAAAACATCTCACTGGCGCATGATTAAAGTCTATCGGATATTCTATGGTTAAAATACACAAAGGAAAAAGAATAAAAGCGCTATAAAGACCGGTAGAGGCGGATCGTACAGGCGAGAAATGTTTCCAACGACCTCATCATAATGTCACCTTGAGTGCGTGCATGACACAAGTAGGAAGGCAGACTATCAACGTGGGAGGAATTTATTTTTCTCTAAGATTGACTTGACCGTCAGTGTGAGTACAGGGCCTTTGGGCTAGTGTGGCCACTTTGGAGAGCCTTGTTGTCTGCCTTGAGTGCATGCACAACACGGTTAGGAAGGCGGAAGAGCGGGGAGTTTTCAAAGTCCAACTTGACAGTGTGTGGACATGGACTTTGGGCTGACGCGACAACTTTAGAGTGCCTTATTGTCACGATGGCGAAAAAGCCCTGTGATGACCCAGTGAGATACAGCACAATCCAGCTACTGGAGGCTTTAAGTGGATATATCTTCAAACATGCAGTTATGTGTAGGCATGAAAAAGATGCTAGACGAAGTAGCATCCATTAGGGGGAAAAAAATCCATAACTTTCAATTGCAAGATTAAAGTGTGGCCAACTGCAGTCATTGTCTACTCTTTTCCTCAAACATTTTGAAATGATATATGCTAGTTTAACCCTTTTAATCCTGCTCAGCTGATGCACATTTGAATCTTCATTTTACATATCCTTTTTGCCGATTTTTGGGGTTGTTTGCGACACTTTTCTTCATGCTGTTTTTTTCCACTTTGCAAGGACATCAAATGATAGTGTCCTTTTTTCATCTTTGACTAAAATTAAGCTTCATTCCACTCCAGAAAAATGTCGACATGAATCCTCTTTTCTTCATCACCAAAGTGCTAATTCTGCAGCACAAACCGGATGAACTTGACTGACTGAAACATAAACTCAAAAATCCTTAATTCACAATTTACATCGTTCTAGCTGCAAAATACTAAAGTAATTTCTGAACCTTTCATTACAAGTGGAACATTTTGACTGATACAACTTTGACAGGCCTTTCACTTGATTTAGTGTGGTTTACAATTGTAAAAAAATAATAATAATCATCATAACAAGGACTGGTTGTTATGTAAATTAGCTCCCCTTGTCTTAACAGCGGGACATATCAATATTTGTTGATTTTCTCCAAAAACTATGTTTTCATCCTTATTAGGGAAAGTGAAATATTAAGATTCAAATGTTATTATGACTATAGGATCAAGTTCCTGACTTTTTATGTTGGGAGTCACTTTTATAATTCTTTCAGTAACAGGAAGTGAAAACTGTCTCCGCTGCCCGAGCTTCCTGTTTGGTCCCTGCAGCTGGGAGAAGTAATGTATGTTCGCATGTCCTGACCTCTGCCCTTTATTGTGTTGTGGCCTGCTTATATAATGACAGCACTAGCTTTTCGTATTCTCATTCTGGGCAGAAAAAGATGCCCCGAGGAAGCAACACTAAACAACACAATTGGGAAATTGTATGCTTGGACACTCATGCAAAATTCAGCATTTTCGTGCGGAGATGGCTCCAGTGCAAGACGGGTTATAGTTTAACAGGCAAACCCATTTTGATTCATTTTGAATCTGCAGGAAAGTTTATAAATTTGATCCAGGAGACAGAAGTGCAAATATTAATTGCTGCACATATCCAAGGAATTTTATTAGATGCACCAATTTTTTTGGAGTTTACCTGCAGTCTCCATCTTTCTCTCCGGTCTTTAATGGCGTGATCACCATTAACTCCACTGTAAATCTATCAGGAAAAGGCTTATGGTTGAAATTAACCCCAAATGAAAGTGTTTGAAATTCATGAATTGTGGTCGTTCTTACATCACAAGATACATGAAGTCATGTCTCTGTCTCCACAGTTCAAATATTGGAAGTACAAAGTGGTCCCCTGGTAGGCTTGTGATGTATTCTTACAGACTGTTGTGGCCAACCCCCACTTGCGCATCCTTATGATTAATATATGACAACAGAAGAACATTCGAATGGGACAAAAGAAGTCATTATGTAGAGTTGTCTTCTTTAACCAGGTTTTTATATTAGCAGAGGGAGGAGGGAGTCTTCATGGGTGCAGTGAAAAGAAGTGAGTACCTCCAAAACCAGGGAGTTGATTGCAGATTTCCACTTGGGTTTTATTTAATTTAGCAGTCACGCGCAACATCCTGTATTGTCAAGAAACCTAACGCACAGGTCGGCTCAAATCGCTATGCTCGACGACTGAATTCCTCAGGAGATCCTTTTTCACCCCCATCAGTGATTCAGGCTTTCCAGCACCTCAGCCAGTGTTACATGTGGTCTTAGATTTATCTGAACTCACACATCCCAGTGCTTTCCACATCATCGTTCACAGCTATGAGGCACCAAACGCATCTGTGCGGTCTCAAAGGATGTCCCGAGGCAGAAATTGAGCAATTCTCTGCCCAGTCTTCTTTCAGTCTATCATGGGTTAAGTCAATGAGACAGAACGTCGCTGGTCTCTTGGTCCCAGACCAAGTGTGAAACACAATGGCTTCACCACTTGCGTCATGGGTGGCTGAAGGCTTTCATCTTGTCACACAGGTGATAAGGTCTAAAAGCCTGATGTAATTGTCACCGGTCAGCTGTAGGACACGGAACATATCGATAGAATGCATCCACACCACAGCCGAGCTCTCAATCAACATAGGTAGCAAAGTCCTTGGATACATTGGAGAGGATGGCATCATGGGCATGAGTAGTTCAGGCAGACACAGAAGAATGAAGCGGAAGTGGCCTGTCAGGCTATAGACACAAAATCAGAGGCAATGTAAGAAACTAAAGAGAAAGACTGGAAAAAAAAAAGGCTCACAATCTGTTCATTTTTCATCATTCTCATTTCGTGAGATAAATAGTTTGTGTGATCCGGAAAGTTCCAAATTCACTGTTCCAAAGCAACATAGCAAAGCACAAAAGTGTTTTTATTTGTTTCGCATTCCCAAATGAAAATTTGTGTTGTAGTAGTTTAAATGTCATTGTTAATTCTAATTTCCCGAAGAAAATCCTAGTGAGCTGGCTCAAATTTGGGTCGGCTATTAAAAGGTGAATGCAGCTTGAAATTTTCCCCTTTCCTCTTCATAATGACACGACTTCAGGAGCTCAGAGAAAATGAAAGCGTCCAACATTATAGCACTTGATGATCCTGGATGGTTGACTCGTTTTTATGACAGTTGGCCGACTTTGTTTATTGAGCACAAAGTTTGTC